GCGGGGGCTGGAGGAGAAACCGTTAGAGGCAACAAAGTGGAGACGGTGAGAGAGACAGGAATCGAGCCAGGCAAGGGCAGGTCCGCGAAGATTAAGTAAAGAGGAGAGGCGGTGTATGAGGATGGAGTGGTCGACAGTGTTGAAGGCGGCAGAGAGGTCGAGGAGGACAAGGAGACAGAGGGAGTCCTGTCACAGATGTTCAGAATGTCATTAGTGACTTTGACCCCCAGGGCTGTTTCAGTGCTGTCGGCAGCGCGGAAGCCGGATTGGAGGGGTTCAAAGAGGGAATGGCGAGAGAGAAAAGAGCAGAGCTGGGACGTTCCAGGACCTTGGAGAGAAATGGGAGGTTAGAGATGGGGGAATAGCTGGAGAGGAGGGATGGGTCCAGGGAAGGTGTTGTCAAGATGGGGGTGCAAATTGTGCAAATTGCACAAAAATTCCACACTATGTGCAAATTGGCTGCTACATTTGCCAACAAATACAGTAAATTTCTGATAACTCAAATCTGCCTTAACTCGTCACGAACGCTTAAGTCATCATGCTGTAAATCTCTCGGCCATATTTATTGATGTATTTATACAGAGGCCTAACTTGCTCTTTTCTCTCGGAGTGACGAGTTCTCAGGAGATTACTGAACACATCACTGCACTTCACAGCAATTATCTTAGAAGCTTTGAGACATCAACAGGCGCTGCAACAAATGCAAGGATTAGTATTATAATAATCCTTGCATTTGATATAGCGCCTTATTAGGTCATTGAGATGTCTCAAAGTGCTTCACAGAATATATTGACTGTATATTTTGTGGGCAAAACGCGGCAGCCAATTGCGCACAGCAGTTTCCCACAAATAGTCGTGGATTGAGTGACCAATTGAGTGATTTTTTAAAACTAATTATTACCGGAATGCAATCCGCCAATCGACTAACAACTGGGTTCCTACTTACTGCTAGGTAAACAACAACAACAACATTACACGTGTATAGCCCCTTTCACGTCGGGAGGACGTCCCAAAGCGCTGGACAGTCAGTGTTTCGGACCTGAGCTGGGGGTTGGGATCAGGGAGGGCGGGTTGGGGGGTGGGGGGGAGAAGGAGGGTGACTGAAGGCATGGTCGAAGAGGAGGGTCTTGAGGTGGGTCTTGGGGGTGGGGGGGAGAGGCGGAGACACTGCAGGATGGAATTCCAGAGGGTTGGGGCAGAGTAGCTGAAGGCCCGCCCGCCAAAAGTGGTGTGTGGGGTAAGGAATCGTGCCTAAAGTTTGGCCCTGACCCGCCTGGGAATCGAACCCGGGTCCTCTCGCTTGCGAGATGAGGGCTCTGACCACTACACTACAGGGCATACGTTATTATAATTTCCCTTGTGAGTAGTTAAAAGCTTACACTTCACACAGAGCACAGCCCCGGTCGGTGTGAGTGATGTCCTGCTGGATCACAGATGGTGAGACTAGTCGATTAACAAAGGCAGGAGCTTGCTACAGGCGTTAATCCTATTTATCTGGTAATACGAAATGACTGTTGTTAATTTAAGAAGACAAGTGTTGCGGGTCCCCAGGGTGTACGACCCTCCCATTTTATTGAGCACCAAATTTCGCCACAAAATGAAACCTTTGATGATTTCTTATCTTGTATCATAAAGCATCATCAACAACAACAACTTGCATTTACAGAGCTCCCCTTGCCCAAGGCGTATCGATTGTCTTCAGGCGATTGACCCTATTTTCAACGATGATAGGGCAATAATAAAATATTTTGTAATTCTTCCATCCTCAACCTTAGCTGCTCCACCTGACAGTGCTATTAAAATAATAACAAGAAGCCTTAGATTTGGTCCAGCGCCTGTCACAGGCGGGAGGACGTCTCAAAGCGCTTCACAGGATTTGTTGTAAAGTGCAGTGACTGGGAGATTTTATAAGTCAATGCAACAGCAACAATAACCACAAAATGACATGTGTAAAGCGCCTTTTACATCAGGAGGACGTCCCAAGGTGCCGGACAGATAGAGTTTTGGACCTGAGCTGGGGATCGGGGTGGGGGAGGGTGGAGGGTAGGGGGGGAGCAGGGAGATCAAAAGCACGGTCGAAGAGGAGGGTCTTGAGATGGGTCTTGAAGGAGGTGAGGGAGGGGGCGAGACAGAGGGTCTGCAGGATGGAGTTCCAGAGGGTGGGGGCAGTGGCAGAAGGCCTGCCCACTAATGGTGGAGCGAGCGAGGCAGGGGATGTGAAGCAGGCCGGAGCCCGCTGAGCCGAGGGAGCGAACAGGATGGTAGGGGGTTAGGAGGTCGGAGGCGTCGGGGAGAGCAAGACATGGAGGGTTTTGAAGGTGACCGGGATCTTGAACTGTATCCTCTGTGTGATGGGAAGCCAGTGGAGTCAGGCGAGGAAAGGGGTGATAGGGTCATGGATCCTGGTGCGGGAGAGGGAACGGGCTGCAGAGTTCTGAATGATCCGCAGTCTGTGGAGGGAGGAGTTGCAGCAGTCGGTTTGGACCCAGAAACATCCCCAAAAAACGGTTATACCTTGAGCTGCCAAGGGATTGTTGGCCAGGACACCGAGAGAGAGAAACTCTCTTCCCTTTTCCAACAGCGCCTCGGGATCTTTAACGTCCGCCTGCACAGATTTAACATCTCACTCGAAGGACAGCACCTCCAACAATGCCACTCAACACTGATTTTTAATTGGTGTGTCAGCTTGGCCGAGACCGTGAGCTCAAAGCCCCAACGTGGGGTTTAAACCCTCCGCCTTCTAATTCAACAACAACAACAACAAGATTCCATTTATAAAGCGCCTTTCACGTCAGGAGGACGTCCCTAATTCAGAGGCGAGAGGGCTACTGATCGAGCCAAGCTGACACTGAAATTAAATGCAGTCATTACACTTTTACAAGAAAAAAAAACTGTGAAGCGCTTTGACGTGATAAAGCACTACATTAAACGCAAGGATAAAAATGGAGTCCTATAGCTCAGTGGTTAAAACACTCGCCTCACAAGCGAGGAGACCCGGGGTCAAATCCTGGACAGGGTGAAACCTTGGGCAAGTTTCCTTACTCCACACGCCTCTGTTTGCCCCGCAGTATGAACTGTATGAACCCAGTTGTTAGTCGATTGGTGGATTGCTTTTTCGGGGGTAATAATCCCTTCCAAAAAATAAATAATACTTTGGTCATTTTCAATCCACGACTGTTTGTGGGACACTGCTGTGAGCAATAGACTGCCGGGTTTCGCCCACAAAATATACCGTCATTTCAATCTGCAGTACATTCTGTGAAGCGCTTTGAGACGTCTTGAAGACGTGATAAGGTGCTGTATCAAATGCAAGGAAACCCCAGGAGCTGACAGCATCACCATCCAAGGATGCCCACTCCACCTCACTTAGCCAGTCTGGAACCTGGGCGACTTGTTCGACTCTCAAGTGTCCTTTCTACCCCACATCCTTGCCATGACCCACTCTGCCTTTCTCCACCTCCGCAACATCGCCCGGCTCCGACACTGCCTCACCCTCAGGCTGCTGAGACCCTCATGCACACCTTCATAACTTCTAGGATCGACTATGTCAACTCTGTTTGTCGGCCTCCCCAACTCCTCCTTCCACAAGCTCCAGATCATCCAGATCTCTGTAACTTGTATCCTCTCTCGCAAACTTTGTGACCCCATCACCCCCACCCTCGCCCGGCTCCACTGGCTCCCCATCCCCCAGAGGATAGAATTCAAAATCCTCATCCTCACCTTCAAGGCCATCCACAGCCTCGCTCCCTCCTACCTCCTCGACCTGCTGACCCCATATCAACCCGTCCGCTCCCTCAGCTCAGCAGACTCTGGCCTACTCCATGACCCCGGCCCGGCCCCTTATCAACGGTCAGCCATTCAGCCTCTCTGCCCCCACCCTATGGAACTCTATCCCACAGTCCCTTCGCCCCGCTCCCTCCCTTGCGTCCTTCAAGGCACGTCTCAAGACCCTTCTCTTCGAATGTGCCTTCGGTCAGCCTCCTACCCCCACCCTCCCTGCCCTCCACCCTCACCGATCCCGACCCCCAGTTTGGGTCCAAATCCCTGACTGTCCAGCGCCTTGGGACGTCCTCCCGGTGTGAAAGGCGCCGTGTGAATGTCATTTGTATTGTATTATTATTTATTGTTATAATAATTCTGAGTCTGAGCTGATCATGTGGCACATACAGGCACCCACCAGAAGGGGGCGATGCTGCTCTACTCTGGACAAACTGCGGTTGGATTGATGGCGGAAGTTTATCTGTAAACAATTCTCGGTAACAAAACGGAATCTCTGACTATTCCTCCATTTCTGAGAATGTTGAACTCGGTCCCGGAAACTGAGGTCGAGGCATAAAAAGTGTCAAAACACACGTTCGCCCACAAAACACACAGTTTTCTCGGCCGGCTTCCGGGTGTCTGACAGTGGGGAAAACTCATCACCGTGTTAACAATCTCCAAAACCAAACTGAGAATCCCAAGCATCCCGACACGTTACCATTATCCCAGCAAGGGGCAAACTCAAACACTTACAGCGTATCGGTTGCACAAAAGAGAGAACTGCGTCCTCCTTGGGCTTCAAAAGCTTCCCCAACACTGTGGTTCACACTTTCAGCTCGTCCAAGTACAATCATAGAACCTTACAGCACAGAAGGAGGCCATTCAGGCCATCGTGCAGTCGCTTTGAAAGAGCTTCCAACAAGTCCCACTCCCCCACTTACCCCAACTAGTCCCACTCCCCTGCTCTTACCCCATAGCCCTGCATGTTTTTCATTTTCATGTCCCTATCCAATTCCCTTTTGAAAGGTATTATGGAATCTGCTTCCACCGCCCTTTCAGGCAACGTGTTCCAGACTGTAACAACTCGCTGCGTAAAAAAATTCTTCTCGTCCCCCTTTTGCCAACGATTTGAAATCTGTGTCCTCTGGTTACCGACTCAGTCGCCAGAGGAAAGAGTTTCTCCCTGTTCCGTCAACAGTGTAAAAGCAGTCGGTAGAAAGGATAAAGGAGATTAATGTTACCTCTCGGTTGCTGGTGGTGATAAAGGGACCTGGTGCCACTCAAACTGCTTCACCATAGCTCGCACACTCCAGCACGGACTCCCCACCTCCTCCTCAAAGCTACCGGTCCTGTATATAGGGGCAGCCTGGTCAATACATAGCTCAGAACATCAATTACATTTTTAATGATTTCAATAATTTCGCCCCACTCTCTCCCTCCGCCCAGCGGGCTCCGGCCTGCTTCACGCTCCCCGCCTCGGCTGCCCCACCATTGGCTGGCGGGCCTTCTGCCCCTCCGCCCCGAACCTCTGGAACTCCATCCCACAGTCGCTCCACCTCGCCCCCTCCCTCGCCTCCTTCAAGACCGTCTCAAGACCCTCCTCTTCAACTGTGCTTTCGATTTTCCTCCTTCCCCCTCCCCCACTCCGCTCTCCACCTTCGCCGACCCCGACCCCCTGCTCGGGGCATTGGTGGAGGGGGCGGGGAGGAGGGGGGAAGATATTGCTTTTTGGGGTTAATAACAACGGCAACAACAACGTGTACGTATACAGTGCTCCTCATGTGGAGTAGTGTCCGCTGCTCACCTCTGGACTTCCTGTTTGTATCGGAACACTTCCCGTCCAGAGCGGGAGACATCGTGTCGGACCTCGGCCAGCGCGGCGACGGCACTCTGAGCCATGGCGGTGGCCGAGTGCGGCCTGTGGTTGTCCGAGGCGAGGTTGTGGGCCCTGATGGCCGAGGACGTGTGGCCGGTCGAACGGACGCCCGAGGGCTTGAAGTGAGCGGCCAGTGCCAGGATCAGACGCATGATACACTTCAGGTTCCCGTCCACGATATCTGCTCCGTCAGGACATCAAAAAACTACATTAATATTCCTCCCCAATCCACACGGCAAAGGGTCCCATACTGCAGCCGGGAGAGGAGACAAGGGAGACACACACGCACACACACACACACACACACAGAGCACACCCCCGCACACACACAGAGCACACACACACACACACGCACACACAGAGCACCCCCACACACACACACCACACACACGCACAGAGCACACCCCCCGCACACACACACAGAGCACCCCCCCGCACACACAGAGCACCCCCCCACACACACACACACGCACACACACACACACACACACACAGAGCACACCCCCCGCACACACACAGAGCACACACACACACACACGCACACACAGAGCACCCCCCCCCCACACACACACACACACACACACACACAGAGAGCACACCCCCCGCACACACACACAGAGCACACCCCCCGCACACACACACACACACAGAGCACACCCCCCGCACACACACAGAGCACCCCCCCACCAGCACACACACACAGAGCACCCCCCCACACACACACACAGAGCACCCCCCCACACAAACACACACAGAGAGCACCCCCCCCCACACACACACACACACAGAGCACCCCCCCACACACACACACACAGAGCACCCCCCCACACAAACACACACACAGAGCACCCCCACCACACACACACACAGAGCACCCCCCCCCCACACACACAGCACCCCACACACACACACGAGCACCCCACCCCACACACACAGAGCACCCCACCCCACGCACAACACAGAGCACCCCACCCCACCCCCACACACACAGAGCACCCCCACACACACACACACAGAGCACCCCCCCCCACACACACACACAGAGCACCCCCCCCCACACACACAGAGCACCCCCACCCCCCCACACAGAGCACCCCCCCCCACACACACACACAGAGCCCCCCCCATTCACAGCCCCCCCACACATATAGCCCCCCCACACATACACAGATCCCCTCACACAGCCCCCCACACACACAGCCCCCCCACCACGCACACACAGCCCCCCCCACACACCCACACAAACACCCACACACACACACACACACACAGCACCCCCCCCACGCGCACACAGCCCCCCCCACACACCCACACAAACACCCACACACACTCACACACACAGCCCCCCCCACCCCCCACCCACACACACACATTGGTTAAAAATCAGTAATTCACTGGACTTCACTGTGTGCAAATTCGGCTGCAATACATGTTTGCCCACACAGTCACTACGCTTCGCAGTGAATTCCCTTTCTTTGGAGAGGCGCTGTGTCGAATGAACGACCATTTATTGGGACGATAAAATCTCCAACATTTCAAATTCACATTGTAAATTTCGCCCCCAGTGAGCACAGGATTTTGATCGCAAATGCAAGGATTTAGGTCATTAAATCTGAACTCTGTTGGGGGACAAACAATATGAATGAAACGATTTCTCCTCTGACCCCCCACAGCTGCCGCCACATGAAATCTGCACTAAGTGCGAACTTTGAAGTTTAATTTGTTTTTGTGCAAATTTTTACGATCTGGAATTGGATATAATCAAGTGCTCGCGGACGCCACCTCACGTGGAGGGTGCTATATACTACAAGTTGTTGTTGTTGTTGTAAGCACTGCCTGAAAGTGGTGGAACTAGGTTCAATAATAAATTTCAAAAGGAAACTGGATAAGTACTTAAAAAGGAAAACATTTGCAAAGCAATGGGGAGAGAGTGTGGGAGAGGGTCGAGTTGGATAGCTCTTTAGGTATCAGTCTGACTCAGTCGATCCCTCCCTCTCGCCTCCGAGTCAGAAGGTCATGGGCCGAATGGCCTCCCTCCTTCTGTGCTGTAAGATTCTCTTTCCCCTTTGCTATTATTTATCCTCTTTGGACCACACACCATGTTACAGCTGTGAGGGCAGCCTCAGAAACTGCTCCCAGCCTCTCTCTGTCTATGCTGTCTGCAAGCCAGACCTCTATAGGGAGGGAACATTAATGGGGGAGCTCAAAGTGGTGCAGAATTCTGTTCCCGTTTTGCTCAGCTCTCTGGGGTCAGACTCCCCTCAAGTCACGGCAAACACTGAGACATCTGGAGAGATGTTGTGGGGTGGTGGGAGAGGGGGCTGTTGGCCAGAACACCGGGAGAGACAAAGTCCCTTCTCTTTTCGAACAGCGCTGTGGGATCGTTTAAAGCTCACCTCAACCGGCACAGACAGAAGGAGAGCTCAGTTTCATGTCTCAGATAATTATTTGGGGAGGACAAGTTTGCAGGGCTATGGGGAGAGCACGGGGGAGTGGGACTGAATTGGATAGCTCTTTTCAAAGACATCCAATTACACAGCACAGAAGGAGGCCATTTGGCCCATCATGTCTGTGCCGGCTCTTTGCAAACTTGTCCTCCCCAAATAATTATCGACTTATCTCTTAAAAGTTGTTAAAAGTTGGGCAAGTTTCTTTACTCCACACACCTGATAATAATCCCTCAAGAAAAAAAATCCAATAATAAATTGGTCACTTCAATCCACGACTGCTTGTGGGACATTGCTGTGTGCAACTGGCTGCCACGTCAATTCACTTTACAATATATTCTGTGAAGCGCTTTAAGACGTCTCAAAGACATGATAAGGCGCTGTATCAAATGCGAGGATTATTATTATTATTGAATCGGCTTCCACCGGCCTTTCAGGCAATGTATTCCAGATCCCAACAACTCGCTGTGTGAAAACATTTCTCCTCACTTCCCCTGTTTCTTTTATCAACTATTTTAAATCGGTGTCCTCGGGTTACCAACCCTCACCCACCAGTGGGAATAGTTTCTCCTTGTTCACCCTATCGAATCCCCTCATAATTTTGAAAACTTCTAAAATCTCCTCTTAACCTTCTCTGCTCCAAGGAGAACAATCTGAGCTTCTCTCACCTCTCCTGATAACTGAAGTCCCTCATTCCTGGTACCATCCTGGTCAATCTCCTTTGCACCCTCTCCAGTGCCTTGACATCCTTCCTAAAGTGTGGGGCCCAGAACTGAACCCAGTCTCTCGCTGAGGCCCAACCAGTGTTTTATATAAAGGTTCATCATAACTTCCTGACTTGTGTATTCTATGCCCCTATTTATAAAGCCTCGTATCCCATGTGCTTTTTAACAGCTGTATCTCCCTGTCCGGCCACCTTCAAAGATTTACTATATGACCCCCAGGTCTCTCTGTTTCTTCGCCCCCTGTAAGATTGTCCCATCAGCGTATATTGCCTCTCCTCATTCTTCCTCACAAACTCCATCACTTTGCATTTCTCCACATTAAACTTCATCTGCCCCGTGTCTGCCCGTGTTACCAGTCTGTCTATGTCCTCTTGCCGTCTGCTACTGTCCTCCTCACTGTTTACTACTTTTCCTAACTTAGTATCATCGGCAAACTTGGAAATTGTCCTCCCTATACCCAAGTCCAGGTCATTTATATAGATCACAAACAGCAGTGGCCCCAATACCGACCCCTGTGGGTCACCACTGCACTTCCCTCCAGTCAGAAAAACAGCCGTTCACCACCGCTCTCTGTCTCCAGTCAGTTCTGTATCCGCTGACACTGTCCCTGTAATATCGGGGGCTCCTATTTTGCTACAAGTCTCTTATGTGGCACTTTATCAACGCTTTTTGAAAATCCATATAAACTACATCAACTGCACTCCCTTCACCCGCCCTCTCCGTTACTCCATCAAAAAATCTATGATTTATAGAATCATGGTGCCTCCGACAGCCACACCCGCCCGCCCAGTGCTGTATCGAACAACAACAACAAATTAGACTTGTGTAGCGCCCTTCTCGTCAGAAAGACGTCCCAGGGAACTCAATATTCAGGGGGTTTTGGACCCGAGCTGGGAGTTGGGGTCAGGAGGGGTGGAGGGCAGGGTGTCGGTGGGAGGGTGACTGAAGGCACGGTCGGAGAGGAAGGTCTTTAGATGGGACTTGGAGCAGGCAAGACAGGGGGTGAGGGGGAGGGATTGCGGGATAGGGTTCCAGAGTGTGGGGGCAGAGATGGTGGAGTGGGAAGTGTGGGGGACCTGAGGCAGGCCGGCTTAGCATCTCATATCTTGAAGCGTCAGCTGAGATTGTGAGCTCAGAAACCCAGACCTGGGGGCTTGAACCCATGACTTTCTGACTTGGAGGCAGCCACCTGAAGTGAAAGTTGTTGTTCTTGTTGACTCACCTCGGGCCGAGGTCTGGTGCATGCGGATCTTTTTGGAAGCCACGAACTGCAGGACCTTTTCCACATTGTCCTTCATCTCCTGTTGGCTGCCGGGGCTGGGAGCAATGTCCCCGAGACGCTCCCCAGCTGTGAGAGTGAGAGAGATATCAAGGTTAATTCTCTCCAGAGGCAGAATGCCATGGAGTTCAAACCCTCCCCCCCCACCACCGCAACCCCCTCACCCCACTCTGTCTACTCTGCAGCTCAGCCAAGTCACAAGATGCTAAAATAACTTGCGAGATCACAATAACATTACAGATTGGTTTGGATGAAGAGGCTTTTCGTCCCATTGCTCTTATCCTTCCAGACCTCCAACCCCACTGTCCCCCCCCATCAAGACGTCTATACTAACATTAAGGTGATATCAAGGTGCAAACACGAGTAATTACTTAGTTAATAAATTGGAAACACTAGCGATAAAGTAGTCATAAGCTATAAATACTAATAATAAGATATATAGACTAGCCATGAATTGGTACAATTGAAAAATTACAATATAAAATTACATTTACACTTAAAATTGTTTAAATTATTTACATTTAAAATGACCCTGAACTGTCCTTTCTCCCCCACATCCACGCCATGACTGGCACTGCCTACCACCACCTCCGCAACATTGCCACACTCTGCCATTGCCTCACCCCTCAGGCCCCCAAACCCTCACCATTTGTCACATCGAGGCTCGATTACAGAAACTCCCTCCTCATCGGCCTTCCCAACTCTTCCCTTCACAACCTGCAGATCATCCAAAGCTCTGCAGTTCATGTACTCTCACGCACCAGACTCCATAACCCCATCACTCCCACCTTGCCCGACCCCATCACTCCCACCCTCGCCCGACCCCATCACTCCCACCCTCGCCCGACCCCATCACTCCCACCCTTGCCCGACCCCATCACTCCCACCCTCGCCCGACCCCATCACTCCCACCCTCGCCCGACCCCATCACTCCCACCCTCGCCGACTCTACTGGCTCCCCATCTCCAGGAGGATTGAGTTCAAGATCTTCGTCCTCACCTTTGAGGCCATCCATGGCCTTGCCCCCTCCTACCTCTCTGATCTGCTGACTCCCTATCAACCTGCCCGCTCCCTCCGTTCAGGGCGCTCCAGTCTGCTCCATGTCTCCCGCCCGACCCGCCCTACCATCGGGGGCCGGGCTTTCAGCCTCTCTGCCCCCAGACCCTGGAACTCCATCCCACAGTCCCTTCGCCTCACTTCCTCCCTTGATTCCTTCAAGGCCTCCTCTTCGATTGTGCCTTCGGTCGCCCTCCCACCTCTCTGCCTTAAATCACCCCTACCCCACCCCTCCCCCATGCTCAGGCCCCGACACCCGACTGTACAGCGCTTTGGGACGTCTTCCCGATGTGAAAGGCGCTCTATAAATGTAATTTTGTTGTTGTTGTTGTACACAGCACCTTTCATGTCAGGAGGATGTCCCAAGGTGCTGGACAGTAAGGGATTTGGACCCGAGCAGAGGGTTGAGATCAGGAGGGGTGGAGGGCAGGGAGGGTGGGGGGAGGAGGGTGAGTGAAGGCCCAGTCACTAGTGATAAGGTTGTTAGGTGTCAATACTAACCGACGATCTCTACCAGATGTGCCAGCACCACCCCATCTCTCAGGTCTCGTCGCAGGTCCTCCACAGGGCAGACACCGGGTTTTTTCTTTAGCTGCAAATTCACCCAAACCACGTACGACTGTAACTGTTGCTGTGGCAGAGAATCAACATGGTCACCCCCAGCCCTGACCATCAGCCACCCTCACACAGACCCCCTCCCACACTGACCATCAGCCACCCTCACACAGACCCCCTCCCCCACTGACCATCAGCCACCCTCACACAGACCCCCTCCCCCACTGACCATCAGCCACCCTCACACAGACCCCCTCCCCCACTGACCATCAGCCACCCTCACACAGACCCCCTCCCCACTGACCATCAGCCACCCTCACACAGACCCCCTCCCCCACTGACCATCAGCCACCCTCACACAGAGCCCTGAGGGACACCGCACGAGACAGTGCGGGGGCTGGAGGAAAAGCCGTTAGCAGATTATAGATTAGATTATATCGCTGAACAGTTTGAGACGTCCAATAAGGGTCCAGAAAGGCTCTAGACAGGGCAGGTTTAATGGATGCAACAATCTTCTACTTTTCCTCCTCCTCCTGTCCTTCGTTGTTACAAAGCATCTCGGAGCAGGTAACACGGCTGAGCGGACTGTCCTATAACTACAACAACAACAACAACAAGATTCCATTTATAGAGCGCCTTTCACGTCGGGAGGACATCCCAAACTAGCACAAGATACTGAAGTTTCTCTCTCTCTTGGGGTCCTGGCCAACAAGACTTTCCCCCCACACCCCAAACATCACTGTTTACAAATTACCCGCCCCATTTCACCCACAAAACATATAGTCGCCGCACTTTACAGTATATCCTGTGAAGCACTTTGGGACGTCCTACCGATGCGAGAGGCGCTGTATGGAATGCAAAGCTCCTCATTATTCCTATTGCACCAAGGCGATGGGTTTCCGTGTCACAGTTACTGCCATGTCCCACAAACAGCCACGAAGTGAACGACTGATTTTATTTGGGGGGATGGTCAGTCAGCCAGGACACCGGGAGACGGAGACCCTCTTCTCTTTTCAAGCAGTGACTAGGGATTATTTTACTCTCTTCTCTGGTCAAAATGCTCCACAGGATCTTTAGCGTCCACCTGAGCAGCACAGACACAAACCTTGGTTTAATGCCTCATCCTTGGGACAGGAGCAAAGCTTTCTAAAGCACTCAGAGGGAGCGTTACTCAGTCATGTTAATGTGGATGGCTCCTCGCGCCATATATTAAATTACAAAGGGCTGTTTATAGCCAGGACACACTGCCGGCAGAAGAGTTCGACCGAAACAAAAGCTTACAGAGCAAGTTGACTGCAGTCCATCAGTCAGTACAGTGGACACAGGGAACATCTGGGGGCACAGCTGTCTGGGGACGCTAGACAAAGCGCACAGAGCTTATCCCCTACATCTGCAGCTTTTCACTCCATCAGTTTCCTGAGCTCACTTACTCCCTCCATCGCTCTCTCCCTCCATCCGTCGCCTCCTCCCTCCCTGCCTTCCTCACCCCTCCCTCGCTCCCTCCTCAACCCCTCCCTCCCTCTCCCCCTTGCTCCTTTCCCCCTCCCACCTCGCCCCCTCCCTCGCTCCCCCTCGACCCCTCCCTCTCTCCCTCCCTCCCTCTTTTTCCCCTTTCCGCTCTCGCTCCTTCCCTCCCTCTCGCCATCATCAGCCTCCCTCCATTCCTCGCCCCTCCCTCCCTCCCAACCTCGCTCCCACCTCGCCACTCCCTCCCCCCTCCCTCCCTCACCCCCTTCCTTCCTCCCTCCCTCCCTCCCTCGCCCCCTCCCTCCCTCGCTCCCTCACTCACAGCTAACAGCATCTCAGCAGCACTCTGTGTCATTAGGGGACATTGGACACTTAGCAGATTATGTGATTCTGCAACTCACTTAAAGATTAGAAATCCTGTCACTGATTCATAATTTTACAATAGTCGTTGCGTTGGATGCAACACCTTTCACATCAGGAGGATGTCTCAAAGCGCTTCAGAGGAGCAAGTGAGAGGACCCGGGTTCGATTCCCGGGCGGGGCGAAACCTTAGGCAAGTTTCCTCACTCCACACACACGTCTCTGTTTACCCAACAGCAAATGGGAACCCAGTTAGTCAATTGGTGGATCACTTTTCCGGGGATAATAATCCCTACAAAACAATAATAATAATGTGGTGAATCAATCAACGTCTGTCTGTGCGCAATTGGCTGGCGCGTTTCACCCACAAAATACACAGTCACTACACTTTATAGTATATCCTGTGAAGCGCGTTGAGGCGACTCGAAGACGAGATACAACGCCAAATCAAACGCAAGGAAGATTATTATTATCTTACTGTAAAGTGCAGTGACCGTGTGTTTTGTAGGTGAACGCGGCAGCCAATTTGCACACAGCAACGTCCTGCAAACAGCCTCAAAGTGAGTGACCAATTTTATCTGGGGGATTGCTGACGATTACACACAGTGGCCCACAAAATACACAGTCACTCCACTTTACAGTGGATCCTGTGAAGCTCTTTGGGACGTCTCAACGATGTGATAAGGCGCTGTATCAAATGCAAGGGTTACTAAGAGGCTTTCCCTACCATTGCAAATTGTCAGCTTTTTGCTTCTAAGAAAAAAAAGTCAATAATAAGTCAGGGTTTGGGGTGTGGGGGAGATACGTTTTGAGAACTTGGGGCCTGAGCAACTTTAACACACTGTTAAACAGAATCATATTCGCAGCTATGGAAACCTGAAGCAGGATTCAGAAACGTCAAAAGTTTTCAAGTGGGCGGTTGGGGTGGAGATTAAAATGATCTCCCAGAACCAGAAAGGCTCAGTCAGTAATGACCACCACCAACAACAAAATGACATGTGTAAAGTACCTTTCACTTTGGGAGAACGTCCCAAGGCGTTGGACAGACAGTTTCAGACCTGAGCTGGGGGCCAGGGTGGGGGAGGGTGAAGGGCGGGGGGGAAGCAGGGAGATCAAAAGCACAGTCGAAGAGGAGGGACTTGAGATGGGTCTTGAAGGTGGCGAGGGAGGGGGCGAGACAGAGGGACTGCGAGATGGAGTTCCAGATAATAAACATCACCTCAGTTGTTCGCTTTGAGGGAAAGGACGATCGCCTACAATAACAAGGTGTGAGTTTGATGCAGCGCCAGTGGCTATTGTCAAGATCCTCTCCCACTCACTTGTCTACAAATCCCTTCACGCCCTGGCACCTACTGACCTCTCTGCCCTCCTCTCTCCCCCACTCCACTACCCGCTGCCACCGCTCCTGCTCGTCCCTCGTCCCCTCCGCTCCACCATGGGCGGCCTCGCTTTCAGCCTCTACCCCCTGAAGCTTTGGAACTCTCTCCCCACCAATCTCTCCGGCTTATTCCCTCTCTTCTTCCTCTCTTTTAGATCACGACCAAAGACTTTCCTCTTCGACCGTGCTTAGGGACACCTCATCTCCTCCCCCCCCACCGCTTGGCGTCAGGCTCTGCCATGGTTAAGCGTTCAGAGATGCTGCCCTGCGTGTGGGGTGAGGTACAAGTTATTGTTGTTTTTGTTCTTACATCATCAATGCGTCCCAAAGCGCTTGACAGGATCTTATTGTAAACTGTAGTGACTGTGTATTTTTTAGTTAGCCAATTAAGTTAACCAAACGTAATTTGGTTAACAAATTACGTTTCTATATCGTCTATCATGTTGGGAGGACGTCCCAAGGTGCTGGAGGGGTGGGGGGTGGGAGTGGTCAAATAGGAGGGGCTTGAGGCAGAAAAACTGAAGGCCTGTGTGTCACTGTCAATGATGGGGGGTGGGGTGCAGGCCAGTGCCCACTGAGCAGAGGGAGTGGCCTGGTTCCAACCTAGGCTCCATGACCCTATCACCCCCATCCTCGCCCGACTCCACTGGCTTCCCATCACACAGGGGTACAGTTCAAGTTCCTGGTCGTCACCTTCAACGCCCTCTATGGTCTTGTTCCTCCCGACCTCTGCGACTTCCTAACTCCCTACCATCCACCATCCAGCTCGCTCCCTCCACTCAGCGGGCTCCGGCCTGCTTCACGTCCCCCATCTTGCTCGCCCCTTCTGCCACTCTGCCTCCACCCTCTGGAACTCCATCCCGCAGTCCATCTGCCTCATCCCCTCCCTCACCCCCTCCCTCATCCCCTCCCTCGCAGCCCTCCCTCACCACCTTCAAGACCCATCTCAAGACCCTCCTCTTTGACCACGCTTTCGATCTCCCTACTTCCCCACCTGCCCTTCATCCTCCCCCACCCCAACCCCAAACCCCCAGCTCAGGTCCGAAACTATGACTGTCCAAGGATTTTAAACTCATTGCAACGTTCCATTAACAGCCGTGAAGTGAATGACCACTTTCACATGGGAGAATGCCACCAAAGCACTTTGCAAAGGCGTGGTTGCAGAGGGAGGGGGAGTGGGAGGGAGGGGAAACGGGGAGGGAGGGGGAGCGGGGAGGGAGGGGGAGCGGGGAGGGAGGGGGAGGGGGTGCCTGAGAAGGTGGTGGTTTGGGAAGGGCCTTAGGTGGGAGGTTGCACACACAAAGAAGGGTTAAAGCAAAGAGTTGTTTTAAAACTTTCAGTCATTTGGGCACAAGTCACGGCATTTGTTGTTAATCGTGTTAAACGCAATCTTAATCCGGCAAATAATCTCCTTTCAACAAACAAATGTGGAGTCCTGTAGCTCAGTGGTTAGAGCACTCGCTTTGCAAGTGAGAGACCTGAGTTCAATTCCAGGCAGAGGGCGAAACCTTGGGCAAGTTTCCTTACTCCACACAGAGCCTAATAATATTCCCTCCAAAACCAAAAACAATAATAAATTGGTCAGTTTCAATCTACGACTGTTTGTGGGACATTGCTGTACGCAATTGGCTGCCGCGTTCGCCCACAAATATACAGTCAATTCACTTTACAGTGTGTTCTGTGAAGCGCTTTGGGACGTCCTCCCAACGTGAAAAGCGCTATATCAAATGCAACACCTATATAAACACCTAATGTGTCCGAGAGGCGAAAAACGTTAACAGAAGGCCTCACGCTCTGTCCGCCCATCTGCTAATTTCCTCCCCCCACAACCCAACAATTTCAACAGCGCAGCCCTCCCCACCCCCTCCCCGATGCTCTGGGACGCTATCCTGTGTGAAGAGCGCTGTACTTGCAAGTTCTTGTTGATGAGAGCGCTGGGAGCCGCTGTCTAGAAACAGAAGAAACAAAAAACCTGTTCATTGCACCAGAAATATTTTCACACGAGCTTCCCCTGGGCCAGCCTCCGAGCTGCTCGTGACTTAACACAGAGTCCTGTAGCTCAGTGGTTAGAGCGCTCGCCTTACAAGCGAGAGGACCCGGGTTCGATTCCAAGACGGAGGAGAAACTTGAGGCAGGTTTCCTTATTCCGCAGGCCTCTGTTTGCGCAGCAGTAATAAGTAAATAGTCAATTGAGTTTTCCTGGATTAATAATCCCTCCAAAAGATTCATTTTTAACAGTAATTTGGTCCGTGATTGTTTGTGGGACACTGCTGTGTGCAATTGGGCGGCCGCTCTTCCAGTACGAAAAACACAGTCACTACACTTTATAGTATATTCTGCGAAGTGGTTTGTGGCGCCTCAACAGAATGATAAGGCGCTATATCAAATGCAAGGATTATTATTGTTATTATTATTATTGTTATTAATGCTGTGCTTTGAGTGAGGGCTTCCTGTCACTGGCAGCTGACAAGCGTTGCTGGAATCAGACCAGTTTTGCAATCCTGGAGTGTCAGGGGGTGGGGGGGGGGCGGGGTGGGGGTGAGGCCTAACAAAGCTGATCTCTACTAATAACTAGATCACCAGATGGTGACTGTGGGCCCCCGTTCCCCCTGGGAGGGTCTCACTCTGAGAAATACAATATCAGACCACTCAGAGTAAACGGCAGCATTAGAAGCCGCCCCCACTGACCCTAAAATTTTTGAGCCGTTGACAGGCGTGGACTTCCCCGTCACTGCGGTAATCAATTCAAGGATCGCTTTGCGTTAACATGTTCTGCGCTTGCTCCAGCTGCCCGCTGTGTGCACAGCAGGGGTGGGGGTCGGGGGAGGGGGTGGTGGACACAGCAACACTCTCCCTCAATCCCTCGGCTTTGCCCCTTCCTTCCCCATTTTCAGGTCGTGCTTGAAGACCATCCTATTCGACCGTGCTCCCCCCGGCTCGGCATCGTGCTTCGCCACTGTCAAGTGCTCTGGGACGCTACCTTGTGAGAAGGTCGCAGTGTAAATGCAAACTGTTGTTGTTGTTGTGGTTGGGGGGGGAAGGAGGTGTCCGGAGCAAAGAGTGCAGTTCTGCGTACAGGTGACGGACGGTAATAACCTTTGCATTTGCTGAGTTATTGAGGCACGACGGAATACACAGTCACCACACTGGTGTTTAGCGTAGGCAGGAATTCTCAAAGCCCTGATCAACCCCACTCCCCCACTCTCTCCCCATAGCCCTGATCAACCCCACTCCCCCGCACTCTCCCCATAGCCCTGATCAACCCCACCCCCCGCTCTCTCCCCATAGCCCTGATCAATCCCACTCCCCCGCTCTCTCCCCATAGCCCTGATCAACCCCACTCACCCATTCTCCCCATAGCCCTGATCAACCCCACTCCCCCGTTCTCTCCCCATAGCCACTCTGCATAGCCCTGCAAACTTCTCCCCAAATATCTATCCACTCCTCCCTTGAAAGATGTTATTGAATTGGGTTCCACCAGCCTTTCAGGCAATGTATTCCAGATCCCAACAACTTGGGTGGAGTAAGGAAACTTGCCTACTTCCGCCGGGTCCAGGAATTGAACCCGGGTCCTCTCACTTGCGAGGCGAGTGCTCTCAGGAACGACTTAGCTAAGAGGAACCGCACCTCGCGCTGGAACGACAAGATATGTTCCGCCTCTGGGAAGTACATAATAATATAATAACAATCCTTGCATTTGATATAGCGCCTCATAAAGTCTTCAAGACGTTTCAATCACAAGGTTTGAAGCCTGTGAAGACCCTGTGACGAGATATCGAATGCGAGGGTTTTATTTGCCCACGTGACAGTTTTAATAAATTATCTTTTTAATTACACAATGTCTGCAACTCCTCCCCTGAATATATGTTGCTTTTCAACACCTCAGCCCATTCTAATGCAGTCCCCGGTTTACATTCTAATAAACACACTGTGGTGAAATAGCGGGAGGTGAAGGTTTTAGCTTGTGACCCATTGACGTACACTCTGAGGTGTTGGTTCTCCCTAATCTGCGCCTAATACTCTCTGGGATGAGGTAAACAAGTGTGTACCTCCGGAGGTGATGGGGGGGGGGGGGGGGGAGAGAGAGCACATTCCGTTCCAATATACAGGAATTTCCACACATAGGCGGCAAAATATACGTGTGCGACTCTCAGTCTGGTTTGGATACTTGTGAGCACCGTGATGGGTTTCGGACATGTCAAGACACCCGGCTTACAACAACCCGTGAATAAGAAGCATAAAACGAGCAGAACCTTTGTAATACAGAACCACAAACCAGAACTGAAATCAATTGAGTGGATTGTATTTGGAGTTGTCCCAATGTTTTTTTCATTAGAGACGCGATTGAGTGGATTTGAACTGAGGGAATAACACTGACTAACAACAACAAATGACATTTATGCAGCACCTTTCACATCAGGAGGACTTCCCCAAGGTGCTGGACAGTCAGGGATCAGCGCCCAAGCTGGTGGTTGGGATCAGGAAGGGGTGGAGTGTAGGGGAGGGTAAGGGTTGGAGGGTGACCGAAGGCGTAGTCAAAGAGAAGGGTCTTGTAGGAGGCAATGGAGGGGGCGAGGTGGAGGGACTGCGGGATGGACTTCCAGAGGGTGGGAGCAGAGATGCTGAAGGCCCACCTGCCAATGGTGGGGCGGGCAAAGTGGGGGACGTGAAACAAGCCAGAGCCCGCTGAGTGGAGGGAGTGGGCAGCTTTATAGGGGGTCAGGACGTCACAGAGGTAGGGAGGAGCAAGACCGTGGAGGGCTTTGAAGGTGAGGACCAGGATCTTGAACTGTATCCTCTGAATAATAATAACAACAATAATCCTTACAGGGCCTCATCACTTCTTTCAGACGCTTCACAGAATATGCTATAAAGTAAATTGACTGTATATTTTGTGGGTGAAACGCGGCAGCCAATTGCACACAGCAGCGTCCCACAAACAGCCGTGGATTGAGTGACCAAATCTGTATTAATAACATATGATAATAAAAATAATTATCAGCCTCGCTGGCAGTTGCAAATTCAAGTCATTTCATTCAAGAACTTCTATTTGTATTGTGCGCTTTGCGTAAGAGATTGCCTTGCTGAGAACCGTAAGAGATGCAGAGGTTAGAGAAACACTAAAAGGAACAATAAAACTCATGAAAAAGTTGTGATCGATACTCAGAAACAATCATTGTGTCTGTCTCTCCCTCCCTTTGCTTTGCTTCTATCCACAAGACAATGGAAACCCATGTCTGGTTAAGGTTAGCTTTCGACCAGAGCGCTTTCTCCAACAGTGCACTTAACTCAATCCAGATGACACGCATTAGAAAACGGAAATCTTACAACATTCATGAAACAGCCTGCGCGAGGAAACGCTGTAGCTCGGAGGAGAAAGGATTCTTCCAGCTAAAACATTGAGCTCTTAGATAGAAGCAATACACAGTCCTCTCCCTCCATAGACATTGCCCGCAATAACAACAACAATAATCCTTGCATTTGATACAGCGCCTTATCACGTCGTTAAAACATCTCGAAGTGCTTCACAGAATACACTATATACCACCTACACAATAGCAGATGCTGCAGGCGGGCGGGCGGGCTGGCTGGCTGAATGTCTGTCTGTCTGTTTGGCTGGCTGAATGTCTGTCTGGCTGGCTGGCTGAATGTCTGTCTGGCTGGCTGAATGTCTGGCACATTAAAGGCCAGTTTGGGTGCCGTCTGCTCAGTTAAAACGCTTCTGTTTACCTCTGTGAATCCCTCTTGCAGAACATCCAGCAGATTCCCTTTGGCTAAGCAGGCGATCATGGTGTCCGTTTCTTCCCAGGGGCCAAATGCAGCCCCGTGCGAGACGTTCCGGGACTCCAGTCAGGGGAGGATTTATTCCCCCACCAAACACCCACCCTACCCCCAGCCCACCCCTCCCCTTCCCTGGTCTGCGTTACGAGGCTGAAAGCCGGCAGCCCTGACTGATGCCATGTGTCAAGCTCGCTACCTTCATTTTGAACAGGACGTGGGTATCGGGCTACAGGGCAGGAGGAAGCCTCGCTCAACAGGCAGCGACCACTACGCTCCAGAGGCTTAGAGACGGCGGAGTTGTCATGACGACACTTAGCCACAGGATGTTGGACTGAGCACCGCTTCAAAGAGGGCCATGAGGGAGAGAGAGAGAGAGAGAGAGAGAGCGAACAAGCAACGGACAGAGAGAGGGGGGGGGGGGGGCGGGGAAATGATCTCCGAACTGTGTGCAGATGAAACTAATAATAATAGTAAACCTTGCATTTGGTACAACAACAGATTACATTTGTATGGCGCCCTTCACGTTAGGAGGAACACTGAATGACATCCTCGGGGGAGGGAGGGGGTGAAGGCTTTCAATACTGCTCAGGGTTTCCCTGTAAAAGTGTAATTTGGAAGCAAAGACACTGATAAAACTTATTTTAACAAAATGTTTAGCTCACGGTCTGTGTGTGTGTGTGTGTGTGTCTGTGTATGGTCGAGTGCATCTGCGCTTGTGTGTATCGGTGTGTGCGTGTGTGTATTTGTGCCTCTGTGTATATGTGTGAGTGTTTGTGTGCCTGTGTGCGTGAGTTTGTCCGCGTGTGTGTGTCTGTATGCGTTTGCGTCTATGTGCGGATCTGTGTGTGTGTGTGCGTGTCTGTGTCTGTGTCTGTATGTGTGTGTGTGTGGTGTGTGTGTGAATGTCTGCCTGTGAGTGTGTGTGTGTTTTCCTGCACAAGTGTTAAAATATAAAATAAATATAAATTGAGGGAAGGCAGTCAATTGCTTGCTTTACTCGGCTCCAAAAGGAGCCCAGTCACTATAATTACACTGTGCTCCATCTCACACTGTGCTCAGGGAAGCAGTGGCCTGTGTTATGTAAAGCAATCAGTAAACCATGCAAATACTGCACAGCATTAGCTATTTTGGGCTGCGGAGGGCAGAAACCCATTTTCTTTTCCCTCTCCTCACCCCCTCACCCCCCCACCCCCACACACACACACACGTGTGCACACCACCTCACAGACAGACACACGCAGGCGCACGCACACAAATTAAATACTCACACACAGACACACACCACAGACACAAACGGACATACAGACACACACACAGGCATGCGCACACAGACATATGCACACAGACACACATACACACACACACAGACAGAACAAACACACATTCGCAGATAGACACACCCACACAGACATACACGCACACACCATACACATAGACACACACTCACACACAGACAGACAGACAACACAAACACACATTCCCAGATAGACATACACACAGAGTCACACACAGACAAACATATGAACACACATAGAGGGACGCACACGCACACGATGAAGGCAGATGGCTGCAGCAGCTCAGATGTTTAGACTAAGTGCCTCAAGCATCGTCTCGAGAGATCACTATCTTCACAGGCAATCAGACACTTTACACAGCGCCTATTCACTGGGGTGACCTCATTTTATCTTCCCTCCCCCTCTCTCCCCCTCCCACCTGTCTCCCCCTACCCCCCTGTCTGCCCCCCTCCCCCCAACTCCCACCCTGTCTCCCCTGTCACATTCTCTTCTCTCCCCCTTCCCCCTTTCTCACTCCCTCCCCCTATCTCACCACTCCCCCTCCCCTCCCGGCTCAACCCCTTTCCCCTGTCTCACCCCCTCCCCCTCCCATCCTCCTCTCTTCCCGCTTTCCCCTTGTCTCCCCCCTCCCCTCCCCCCCTCTCCCACTTCCCCCTCTCTCCCTCCCCCACCCTCCCCTCCCCCTCTCCACCCCCTTTTCAGAGATTCAGAATATCTGTGACCAGGGCTCTCTCTGCCTACTTGTCCTCCTCGACTTCTCTGCTGCCTTCAACATTGTCGACCATTCTTATCCTCCTCCACCACCACCTCTGCTCTCAGCTCAACCACTTTGTCTCCACTAATGGCTTCTCCTCCAGCCCCTGCACCATCACATGTGGCATAGCTCTCTCCTGTTCAACATCTACCTCTTGGTGACATTATCCATAGACATGGGGTCAACTTCCACATGTGTGCGGATGACATCCAACTCTCTCTCTCTGCCTCCGCCCTCAACTCCAGGACCCACTGCTGTCCTGAAAGAATGTCTGTCAGACATCAACAACAACAACAACTTGAATTTATATAGCGCCCTCCACGCTGGACGGGGTCTCAGAGCACTTATAGTCCTGGATGAGAGCTAACTTTCCTCAGTTGAATGTCAACAAGACCGAGGCAATCCTGCTTGGCTCCCGTCAGCACCTCCTCACCTGACACTGACAGTCCTTCATGGACCCACTCTACATCTCACGGAGCCAATACGGATCCTTGGTGTCCTGTTTGACCCTCAACTATCCTTTCTACCCCACATCCATGCCATGACCCGCTCCGCCTTGCCCCACCTCCGCAACATCGCCCGGCTCTGCCACTGCCTCACTCCGCAGGCCCCCGAGACCCTCATATACCCATTCATAACATCCAGGTTCAACTATGCAAACTCACTGCTTGTCGGCCTCCCCAACTCCTCCCTCCACAGGCTGCAGATCATCCAGAACTCTGCAGCCTGTGTCCTCTCCCGCACCAAACTCCGTGACCCTATCACCCCCATCCTCGCCCGACTCCACTGGCTTCCCATCACACAGAGGATACCTCCACAGTATTGCTCCCTCCTATCTCTGCGACCTCCTAAACCCCTATCATCCTGCCCACTCCCTACGCTCAGTGGACTCCAGCCTGCTTCATGTCCCCCGCCTCATCCCACTATTGGCAGGCAGGCATTCAGCCACTCTGCTTCCACCCTCTAGAACTCCATCCCGCAGTTCCTCCACCTCACCCCTCCCTCACCTCCTTCAAGACCCGTCTCAGGACCCTCCTCTTCGACCGTGCCTTCGGTCATCGTCCTTACCCCCTGCCCTCCACTCTCCCCGATCCCAACCCTCAACTCGGGTCCGAATCACTGACTGGGACATCCTCCCGATGTGAAAGGTACTATACACATGTAATGTTGTCGTTGTTGTTGTTGGAATCTCTCTCCACACTGATCTTAGCCAAAGCAACATTCAGGGTTTAGTACATTTGACATCTGGGACTAACCCAATGCGATAACAGGAAGAAAACAGTCAGGGTTCCCACTAATCACTGGGCTATGTGCATGTGTGTGTGTATGTGTATGTGGTCTGTGCGTGTGCATGGGTGTGTGTGGTGTGTGTGTGTGTGCCCATGTGTGCGTGTGGTGCGTGTATGTGTGTCAGCCTGGCTCAGCCGGTAGCATTCTTGTCTGATTCAGAAGGTTCAAACTGCATATCAGGTCCTTGAGCTCACAGTCTAGGCTGACCCTCCAGTGCAGTGTTGGGGGGGAGGTGGGGGAACGCTGAATTGTAGGAAGTGCCGTTCTTCGGATGAGACATTGAACCTGTCCAGGTGGACATTAAAGACCCTGTGATGCTATTTGGAAAAAGAAGGGATTTCATCGAGTGTCCTTGACCAATAGTCTCCCAGATAAAATTAGTCATTCACTTCATGGCTGTTATAAGAGACTTTGTTGTTTGCAAATAGGCTGCCGCATTTCTCCTACAAAATACATAGTCACTACACTTCACAATAAATCCTGTGAAGCGCTTTGAGACGTCTCGAAGACATGATAAGATGTTGTATCAAATGCAAGGATTATTATTATTATTAAAATAATCCAGAAAATAAAATACAAAAACCTCACAGGAGACCAGTTACAAGGACTATCTTGCAAATAATAATAATTTGGTCATTCAACCCACGGCTGTTTGTGGGACGCTGCTGAGCGCAATTGGCTGCTGCGTTTCACCCACAAAATATACAGACAATTCGCTTTACAGTATATTCTGTGAGGTGCTTTGAGATGACTCAACGACGTGATAAGGCGCTGTATCAAAGGGAAGGATTGTTTATTATTATCTGTAACGTTATGTGTGGATCTCAAATGACATCCGCTGTGGTCCCAGTCTGGTCGTTGGGAGAAAACAAAACGAGGAAAACAAAGCAGGAAAAGCTCTGGTTCCGCACTGCTCGTGAGCACCTCCTGGTGGCCTGTCCCAGGAATGACAGCACCTCCAGACAATCACACCCCGACTCTTGCGGACACCCACCTCCATAATCTGATAATAATGACAACCCTTGATATTTGGTGCAGCGTCTGTCACGGCAGAGGGACCTCTCAAAGCCCTTCTCAGGATTTACTGTGAAGTGTAGTGACTGTGTATTTTGTAAGCCAGTTTCTGCACGGCAGCGTCCCACAAACCCGCGGAGTGAGTGACCAACTTTATTTGGGGGATTGTCAGCCAGGACAGCGGGAGAGAGAGAGAGAAACTCCCTTCTCTTTTCGAATAGCGCCTCGGGATCATTTGAAATGATCATTTGGAATGATCCGCCCGAAAGGGCAGTGAAGTCCGATTCGATAACAGCTTTTAAGAGAGAACTGGATAGGTATCTGGAGAAGACGGGTTTGCAGAGTTATGGGGAGAAAGCTGGTGATTGGGGTTAGTGAAAGTGACGCTCTGTCAAAGAGCCGCACAGACTCGATGGGCCGAATGGCCTCCTTCTGTGCCGTAACATTCTATGAATCTATGAATATAATAAAAAACTTCCACCTGAGCAAACAGACCAGACCAGACCTCGGTTTATCATCTCATCCGAAGGGCGGCACCTACGACAATGCAGCGATCCCCCCCCCACAACCCCCAGCGCTGCACTGGAGGGTCAGCTTAGAGGACTTGAGTTCCAATGTGGGGCTTGAACCCACAACCTTCTGGCCCAGAGGCAGGAGCGCTAACGACTGCACCAGGTCTGCAGAGTTTAGAGTTTTTGGGTAACCGTCAAGTGGGACTGGTGAACAATAGCCAATCTGTTGGGACGACAAACCT